TAAACCCTATTGCCTAATAACTATTAATAAAAATGACCTTAAAGTGAATTCACCGCGTACTTACTAATACCGCGAGTTTATATATTAATATTAGTATTAATTAATTTGTAAGTATTTATTTTATATTCTTACTGATTTTAGACTTACTATAGCTACTATAGCATCTAAAACGCTAATTATTAGCACTTGCTTATTTTAATTGTTATAATACCTATGTCCTACTAGCGCTACGAAATTTCCTATATAAACTTAATCGTTGTTAGGCTGTCGACGCAAATAATGATTGTCAGGGAACTCCATGTATACAGACCATTGAGGACTTGCCGTTACTAATCCATGTTTTCACTGACGCTGGAGGTCCTTCGTTCCCAGGAGAGAGCTGATCTAGCCACACAGCGGCCGTGTCTTTTACAAGGTGCGTTGGCAGAACCTTTGCAAGGAAGTAGAGCACTGTGCCAGCATGGAATATCATCGAGGGCTCATTAGGGGAGGCACTCGGGAAGATTCTCGCAATGGCAAGGATCCGCGCACTAAAGCAGGCTGCCTCTCTAGCCATCTCGGCATTTTGTTTTGCCCAAAGGCTGAGGGTGTTAAAAACGGTGCCAGCTTGGAGATCGTCTCGAAGGAGCGGATACAGCCAATTCATCAAGCCACCCGCCCCATAGAGGTGACAGACATAGGTGACTTGGAGCGTATGCATAGCTGGCGCCAGCTCTGCTGTCGTAAGATACGTAGCTAGATTTTGAGGACACCTTGCCAGCTTGTCGGCCGCCCTGACAAGATCCGCGGTAGTGTTAGTGTTCTCTGGGCCATGAGGAAGAAGACCCACGATCGGCGAAGATCTCATCTCCTTGAGTGTCCATATCATCCGGCACAGTGTGGTGGCGACTAAGGATCGGTGACGCTCATCCTGAATTTTCTCGTTTGGCTTCTGAGTTTGATCAAAGAAAGTTCGCAAAAGAGACTCGAGCCTCGGAGACATCGGCTCGGGCACTGTTGACGGCAACATAGCGGCCCAACAGTGGGCAGACTCGGCATTCCAATAGTTGGCTCCACAAGGGAGAGCAAGGTGAATTTCTCCAATGCTAAGAAACGGTCGATTGTTGTGTAGGTAGGAGACTGATGCATCGTATTCCTGTCATTGAACAATGTTAGATCCAGTGAGCACGTAACCAGTAGGAAACAAGAGGGTCTACATAGACGGCCCATCCCAGTCGACGAAGCTTTTCATAACGGATCCAGTCTTTCCACCGCTCCTCGACATTCTGCGATGTTCGTGATATTGTGTTTGCCTCTGGCTTGAACCGGAAGAGACCCATGCACTTTGCGTGATGCACAAGATTGTTTCGAAAAGATTCACTCAGTTCAAACAACCGCTTGTTGCCGCAGTAGTACCCGTGTAAACCTTGGAGAAGCTGCGCGGTCAGATAAGCCTCTGTCCGCACATATCTACGATCATACTCTGCCTTCGACGGAATCAGCGCTCGGGGTACTAGGCCACGCACGTTACAAGTGAGTACGTACGAGAAATAAGAGTAGCCTCCGGTTAAGTTCCGAGAGTGCGTTCGAAAAGGCCGCTGCTTCCGAGAGTGGAGTGTAAAGTGCACCGACACTTGCAATGGCTAGAGTTATAGTAAGATCTTTGGCGGGGTCAAAAGTTGGTTGGTGGATGAAAGGGAACATCTAATACCAGCCACGACTGATTAGCCCCACCCATCCTTCAATCGACAGATATAATTACTGTACTTACCTGATGGAAGTGAGCAAAATACATGTCGATACAGTACTCCAGCTTTTCTTTATCTGGAAAATGGTCCAAATTGCTGGGTAGCCAAGGACTCCGGCGGGCTGGAAGTCTGAGGTGGTCTGCCAATGCCTCAATAATCGATGGGTGTAGTGACCAGTTGGGAAAAAAGCGAGGATACAGGTTAGGGTTTTCGTCCTCGTCGCAGCCTAAGTTGGGTAGATCTACAATACGCTGGGACTTCTCAGAATGCCACTCCATCGGCCACGGATCGTCAGCACCACAGCTGTCTTGAGGCCGAGGACACGGAAGATCCAAATCATCGGCACTTTGAACAGAAGGTGTGTTGTAAATATCCATGATATTGCAGTTGGCGCTGAGGCCTGAGCGTGGATTATGAGCCCCGCTAGCTTCTGCCAATGGGACGGGAGGTGAATTATGAACTCCTTCACTAAACAGAGCTCCAAAATCGGTCGACTCGTGTTCCGAAAGATGATCAAAGAGCCAGTCGAGGTTCGAATTGAAATCTGAGGCATCCAGGGCATCCAGGCTGTTGCGGAGGAAATAGGACGAGGCTTGTGGCTCGAATGCTTGAGCGGGAACCGTGTCATTCACGGTCAAGTCTGTTGATGTTTCGTTAATGACGCTGTTTGTCAATGGGGTAATTTGGCCGTTGATCTGCAGCGGCCGAGGACAAATATTATCAACCAACACCTGGGTTGTATTGGTGCTCCCTGTAGCGTAAGCATTCGATGCCGTTGTCATTGATCGCATATTATCGTGTCCCATTATGTCCGAATCATAACTGCAGGGGACTTGGCGCCGCCGGCATGATGCGCAAGAGGGCAGTTCTCCGGTGCAGCGGACTTTGGATCTGGCAAGGAGTCACTCAGTCAATCTCCCAAAATACATCTACTGGGTGTCCTGTCCATTCACAAAAACCTACGTGCAACATCTTATGCATGCTGTTCTTTTGCGTGGTTTCGGGTGCCGATTTTCATCGTGGACGCGCAGATGCCGCACCAGACTATCACTATCATAGGCGTAAGTGAGCAAACAGCCTTTTTTAACAGTTGTGCAAATAGATATCACAAACCGTCGATCAAAAGCTCTTTGACAAGTCTTACATACATGGCGAGCCTGGCCTCTTAATCTTGTCTGGGAGTGAGTCGATGATGCGGGCATAGTGTTCGGTCAACAAACTCAGCTGAGGTGAAGGGAATTTCTTATTTAAAATCAACAGCAACGAATATTATAAAGTCTTTTAAGTACGGAACGGAGGTGGAGGTGGTGTTTGCCAGGGTTTTTGCGGGGTTCGCCCTGGGGTTTGCGGGGTAGTCGTATTACACTAGGTAAGCAAGCCCTCTCTATAAGGTTAGTAGTTTACAGCGCTTCTGCTTATTACCTTCAGATTAACGTCTTGTCCAAGTGTAGGCTTTATATATAATTATTATTTAGGCATGTAGTTTACATAACTATATCTTAAGGATCTGATAGAATGGTTTCTTATTTATAAAGGCCTCTAACTATAAAGAACATATAAGCAATAAAGCTGGAATAAGGCAGCTTATATCAGTCTGCAAGTATCTACTAGCTTTGTATGTAGGGATAATAGAAGGATGAATCTTATTATTAACCATGTTTTCTTAATGTCATCTCTACCCACATTTCTCTCGGTACCTGGACGATTGTTGAATAATATTCGAGAGGTTTATCTGAGTGGAAAGATTTCATCTATAGTAATTAGTTAGCCTCTATACATACCCGGACTGTTGTACTTTCTTTTTATTTAAAGAAAAGAGGGCAAAGAGCTTCTTACATTGTAGTTGAGTAGCAACTCCGGGAGCATTTTCTTCATCTCGATCCAGGCTATATGCTGGCCAATACACATCCTCTTACCATAGCCAAAGCCTGGAAATGCTCGTTCCATCTTACTCCTCTGTGCCGCATCAGCCTCGAGCCAACGCTCCGGTCGGAATCGAGTGGGTTCTGGGCCCCAGACATCCTCCTTACGGGCCATACCCCGGGTATTGATAGAAACAGCGGTACCGCCGGGAAGGTAAATGCCACCGATGTGTGCACCACCAGCCGGCACTTCCCGCTCCATAGGTGCGACGTTGACAGAATTCAGACGCATAGATTCCTTCAATGCCGCCTCTAGGTAGGGCAACTTGGCGACTGATTGGAAGGTGGGAGGAGACTCTAATTGAGCATCTTCCAGCTCTTTCTTCAACGTAGCCATGACTGCCGGGTTCTCCAAGAGAGATCGGAACGTGTCAAGCAGAGTTGATGCGACAGTCTCGGCGCCGGCATGAATAGTCGACATGACCAAACCAACCACTGTTTCCCGGTCAAAGACGTTTGGATCCTCCTGACTGGCACGCATATAGCTTTCCAGGAGGTCTGAGTGTGATCCCACTCCGCCCATAGCATCTCTCTCCTGGACCACGTTGAAAGCTCGCTCTGTCAATAAACTAGGCGTTGTACGACCTTTGATGAACGGGTTCTTGAAAAACAACTTTTCAAGGTTTGGCACAGCGTACCACTGAACCCAATGTTCAAACCGCTGCTTGACCCCCTGGATTGTGTCATGGACCTTGTCTTCGGTGAAGTTGCCGTCACTGAAAGCGACTCGGACCATGGTGTCGAAGGCAAATAGTTCCATCCATCGAACCAGATTAACCTTTGGAGTTTGCTCTGAGATCAGCTTATTGACCATTCGAATACTTTCGTCCACATGAGACTCGTATTTCGTCATGGCGCGGGGCGTAAATGCAGAATTTATGTGTCGCTTGATAGCATGTACTCGGCTCTCATCTCGGGTCGTTGTGAAAGACTCGAGTATCTTTCCGTTTACCATTGTCGTTGCTGGATCGTAAGACTTTGCCTACACAAACCCGAAATTGGTAAGCTAAAGGACTGCCTAATTGAGATTTTCATTTTTGATGGACTCTGCTTACCTTGTTAAACACATTGTTAGTTCCGTAGATGATGGGGATGACGGCAGGGTCACTGAAGAGAACATTCCTTGGTCCCCACCTAACAACATCACCATAGTCTTGGTGCAGCTTCAGCTCTATGTCTGCCCAGCTTTCTCCCTTCCAGATCTTTCGCATGAGCCAAAATTCGGTTAGCTGAGCCCAGAACGGACCGGGCACATGTTTAAGTCGTAGGTAGTTTTTGACAGCGACGATGACCGGGATAAATATAAAGAAGAGGATAATACTGGTAGTTAACCAGTTAGGCAGAGGCCCATATTGGGTAGCAAGATCTAAAGATAACATATTGCCGATAAGATAATATCAATTTATAACATTTGCTAGACAATGTCTTTCTTCAAATCCAGATAACTTAAATCATAACCCGTAAGTTCTTTAAATATTATAGTTTGAAGTTAACTTCTCCACATAGAGGTTGACAGCGGTGAGTGTAACAGAAAACTATCTGCTCCGTATCATCGTCTGAGCATGCATCTCGCCGCGTCCACAATCCTCCACCACACTCCGCCGAAGCCCGTGCTGTTCCTGGTCCCGTTTCGGGGTGCTGTGGTGGCACCACACATGAATTCCGAGCCCACCGGGAAACAGCGAGCTATCGGCAATACTGCCTGTATCTGCAGCCTGCGCTCTCCGAACGCTTACACAAGGGCGACAGTACCTGTATACCAAGTAGGCGAGAACTAAGATCCTGTACCAGGATTGCTACTATACGCCTCGTATATCCCGACATGGCCCAATCCATGCAAACCAGTCCATGGCAGCATCAAGGTGCTCTTGCATAGACATAAAGTCGTCTGCTGGCAGATCCAGACCTCTTTATCTGATTGAAATCTGTTCTATGCAGTGACTGTAATATATCTTTGTTAGCGGTCGCAGTTTTGACCTCGACGAGCTAGTGCTTTAAACATATGCAAAAGATATGCTCACCCATCAGTATCCTCGAGGAAGCCTATGCGTCTATACTTGCCGACAAAAGCCTCGTGTATCAATTCATAACCAATACCTCGATGTGTACTAACTGCAACAGGGGGTTCTTGGTCGAGTGTCTTCAAGATAGTCCAGCCTCCATCTCGTGCCTTGTTTAGAACCGACTCCACGTCAGGGACTTTAAATCCCAGGTGGCCAAACCCGATATTGGCGTGATGGTTGTTGTTCTCAGTCACACTCTGGGTATTTCCAGAGGTTATATACACGAGCTCAAGGAGCCCAGAACGGCTTGGGTTCGAGAGAAGGTCGGCAGGAACCTGGTCTCCGTCCTCCGCGTAGCCCAAGTAGTATACAGTGGATAGACCAGCGTTGATGGTGAAGATCCGCGAAATTCAAAGCAGGTCTTAGTAAAAGGCAAGCGATTTCTTGGGGTCTGAAATTCGTAGCATAGAGTGAGTAAGTTTGTAGCCAGCAGGGTTAGCAGTGAGGCGCTCTGCTGTAGTGCAGGCGCCCGGAGGGGGCACGTCTATTGTTATAATATACTGTAGAGTAATTAAGCCATTAGTGAGAAAGGTTAATGTAAAAGTAGAATAAGATATTTTACAGTCAAAATGCGGAGAGATAGACCTTTCTCTTAGTTATACTAAATACAGGTTAAGGCAGTCTATGAGACATGACTTATATAGCTAGGTAAAGCGAGTTAATTATATCAGCATACTTAAAACAATTAATGCTCTCAACCCTGTGAATCTTTATAGTTAACTTAAGTGCTCTTATGCCCTAATCTTTATAATATATATAGATCAGTATAAACAGATTAAAATAGGCTAAAATATAAGCTAAAGTAGCTTTATTAAAGCTTATTTATATATAGCGCTTATATTAAAATATTAAAGTTATAGATAGATTTTTAATTAAAATAAGTATTAAAGTTATAATAATTATTT